CTGATGGTCCTATGCCCCTTCGTCTTCTTCTTAACATGCAGTGATTCGCCCACGCTGAAGCTGCAACCCACCGAAGTGGCCTCGACCCATTGGGTGCCACTGAAAGCGCTTTTGTCGTCTTCTCTGCGCACTGTAGAGCATGTGGACATGACTCAACGCCTTGCAAACATGGGAGGCATCATGGCCCGGGTCGCGTCTCGTTCCTTGATGGGTTACATGCAGTTTCCCGCAATTCGATTGGCCCCAACAGAGAGCCTTCAAAGCAACACAACCCCCGGGCTCACCCCCAAAGATGAGCAAAGACAGTCGCTCTTTCGGCGGTTGTTCTCATGGGGTAGCAGTAGCCCTGCTCACCAAGATATCGGAATAAGTCGCCCCTTGCTCCTCTGGGGATTGACGCTGGGTATTATGGCAGACTTCTTGGATCTGCTTCCTCCCCACACAGCGGTCAAGCTTTGGCACTATCCCAACTTCACAGCACCCGATCTACGGCTGCTTATCAACGTGCTCACGTATGGTCTGCGGAAACGCAATAGGCGCTTGGTTGAGAGCGGAGCTCGACCGAATAATACTGCGGTGGATGCCCAGACCGCGGCCGTGCCAATAAAAGAGATTGATGGCAATGGCAATGGCAGTCAAAACAAAATTGGAATCGAAGGACTTGGTGTGGGTCAATACTACGGGCCTTCCGACAAGGGCCTTAATGGGAGCACATATGCGCTGGAAATTATGCTCCGAGGCTACTATGATCGGCTCCGGCTCGCCCTCTATATTTTCGTAGCATGGAGGATAGCCTTGGGCTCCACGGCGGCCTTCTATGCATGGAGATTTCTTCGTCAGGTCCGATGATAACGATGACTTCGCCATTGTTCTGTATACTGTATATCTACCAATCCTGAGTTGAACATACAATAGTATAGATGACTTTCTACAGCAAGCCTCGCCCGCATTCCTCTTGAAGCAAGGGAGGAACAGAAAAAAAAGAGTCACACTAGCAGTTGCTGTTTCTGGACAGTAGTCGCTCTCAATTACATGCTCCAGTGAGACAGAACTGTATTGTTATGTATGAACAGAGGTACTGTAAACTACACGGGGACTGCCCCGGCTCGAATACCTGACTCGTCTCGTAGCGGTAAACAATTATTCTCGGCCGCCTTAGCTTGCCATGCTTATCGTCCCGGAAGCTCGCCGGCGTCAAGCGGCTGTTGATTCTTTATCGGCACTGATCCACTCGCGTCATTGCTTCTGACCTTCCTCTAAGCTTCTAACAACACAACTCCCCTCCCCGAACCTATTGCCTTGGCTCATTCGTCCCTAATGGCAGCAACGCAGAAACTTTATCCTCGCGCCACGGTGAAGCGTGTCGTTAAGGCGCACTCAAACCGTAACGTGAGCAAGAATGCTGATATCTTGGTTGGTCTCCTGGCTTCGTCCCCCTTATTGCGACTTCAGAGTCTAACGGCTTTTTGTACCTTATAGATCTTCCTGGATTACATGCTGTTCATGCAAGAGTGAGTCGCTTATGATCTTCTCATCTGCCCCAAACATAATTTTCAAAACACGGCGCGTGTCGAGGGGGAATCGAGATATGGTTCACAGCTGAAACCTGGATAATTATGCAGATTGATGCGGGAATCATCGATTCAGTCGCGGAAGGTGGGAGAGAAGAATATATCGCCGAACTCAGTGCGCAAAGTGACCGAGGTGTGTTTACCTGGTGCCGCGATGCAAGTATGCATGATTCCCGTTGATGCTGACATATTGTCTGTTGAACCTACAGAAAACGCTACGGAAGTTCAAGGGCTAGGTTGATGGCAGAGCGAATTCGCCTTGAATATAAGCTTGCATCATTGCCAGCGCGCGACCGGATCATATCTCTGATCAGCTTTGTGGGGGTTGTGCTACCTGGGGTGGTTGTTGAGCTTGGTCTAGATTCACGACCCACTCTCTTGGGACCGTGACTGCTCGTCCATACCTCTAGTAAATTCTTTTATCATGGAGAGAGGACTGGGTTCAAAGGTTCAAAAAATCCAGGGCGACTCGGGGTTATATAGGCGTTATTCAGGAGTCACTCGGTTGATACCCAATGCATGGACTGTTTTACATCACGAAGACCTCTGTATAAGACAGAGCTGCAATAGATCTGAAATAAATTCTTATAGGCACAGGATGCGCCTCCATTGTGTAAGATTCTTTGAATATGCAGAATAGTGTGCCAGCTGTTGCAATGGTTCAATGTTTGGGTCGCAAGACGTGTTGGGGCTGAACCAGTGACTGGAGCTGCAGCAGCACGCGACGAGGGCGGTTCGGAAGAGTTCCACCCGCATCTGCCAGCTGCTTTTCCCATTTCCCATTTCATCCCCATCCCCATCTCAGTCTTCCTTTCTGCTTCATTGGTTTCCGCTTCTCACTTCCACCTCAACTTTTCTCTCCTCCTGTCCTCAATTGTGCGCTTATATCATTGCGCCCCAACATAAGACTTCCACCCTGTTTTCCTACTCTCCCGTATAGCTTTTATTCTACATCGTCTGCTTAGGCGCTAGACCACTTCCTCCGAGTCATCACAACACCAAACCAGCAAGCAACCATGGCTGCCGCTACTCTCAACTCCAGCCCTGCTCAACACTCCGAAGCTTCTTCCAAGAAAGCAAAGTCGAATCATGCTTCTAGCCCTTCTATTGTCTCGAAGCCTGACACGAACGGCTTGGACAATCTAGACAACCAACACTTCAAGGAATTGCAGAGGTGCGTCTTCAGCGACAAGCGCTCCGCGCATTCGCAATGCCGTACCATGGAGCTCTGGAGTCAAATAACTTACTAGATTCGCTGCAACAGAAGCTTGCGCAATGCTGTCAAGAAGCTGGTTAGTGTCCTTCAGTAGAGCTTCCAGCCTCGTTCACCGCTTACACTGGCCTCGTCCCACAGAATGCGACCGCCAAAGTCGACACCATCATCGCAGAGAACCCCGGCAAATCCTTGGATGAGCTTGTTACCGAGAAGAAGATCAATGCCGACCAGAAGGCACAGGCCTTGAAGAAGCCCTCTCTACAAGCCACCGTTGCCCAGATCGAGGAGCAGATTTCCCACCTCAAGGAATTCGCTGCCTATTACGAGGAACGCTTGGCCACCCAGAAGGCGGAGCTAGAGCAAGCTCACGAGGAGCAGCTTGCAGCTCTGCGGGAGCAGGCTGACGCGGATGCCGCTGAAGCCAGCAAGAATGATTTTAGCCAACAGCTACTAAGCCTCAGCAAGTTCCTCTGCGCCGCCGCCACTATGAGACGTTCCGGAGACGAATCTTCAAATGAGAGCCGTGCATTTGAAGGCGTTCTATACCAGATTTATGGAGGAACTCAGGATGCTGTGTCTTCGATGCTCAAGATCATCGACGGCGCGGATGACAAGGTCGTCGGCGTTGACGGCACCGCGCTGGAGATCACCTGTGAGTACTGATGCTTTTGTGACTCGAGCAACCGCCGCTAACTATCTTGGCTCATAAGACGGTAAGGTGAAGCAGCTCGCTACTGAGCTTGCTCCTGCTTCCGAACCCACAACTACCGAGGCGGCTCCTGAGTCGGACCCTACGGTGGCTAATGCAGGCTACACCGAGTTGCAAGACTCATCCTACGACTCCAGTGCTGCCGCTGCGACTGAGCCTGCTGCGGAAGAGCAACCCGAACAGGTTGCCCCTCCTGCTCAGACGCTGGCTACCGACGGCGCCAACCAAGTGGCTGAGGCTAGCTGGGATGCCAATGCGACTGAAGTTGTGGAGACTTCGCCTACCGCTGACGAATGGGTCGAGGTGCCACGGGATCCTGCTGAAACTGAGACTGGACTTCAAGCTACTCCTGCCGCCGCTGAGGCTGAGGCGAACGTTGACGCAGCTGTGACTGAGACGATTGCGCCCAGCACCGAGGATATTACTGTCCCTAAGCCCCAAGACGGCTTCGAAGGCGTCTCGCACCATCAGCGCCAGCCTAGCCGTGGTAGAGGCCGGGGTGGCCGAGGCCGTGGGTTCCGGGGCCGTGGCGGTCGTGGCGGTCGCGGCGGTCGCGGACGCGGTGGTGCCAATGGCTCCTCCGCGGCCCCTGCTCCCAGCCAGTAGAGGCCGCTTTTTGGGAGTTGACAAGCTGCCGTCTGTCCTGAGCAATGTGCGTCTCCGCGAGAGGCATTTGCTTTCTGTCGATTTGACTTCGACGCCAGCATCAATCTGCCTAACCCCTCATCGAGCCTCTCTGACCTCGCTTCCTCAAGTCTTCTTCTGCCTCAGCCCGGCGCCCTTTCCTCTAATCTCTCTGAAATACTAATAAACTCATGGGTAACGGGAGTGTCATGGTTCACGAACGCAATGACTCTTGAAATGATTTACAACAAGGCTTCTTTAGAGTGAAGATGATGGCAGGGTGTCCCTACTCGCTGTTGTCTTTACTCTGCTCTCTTTTGGATCTTTCGCCAAAAGTTCCTGTTGTATATGTTTGCAGTTATTGAGCGTGCATATTGATTTCTGCAATTTTCTCCCTTTGATTTTTCTTCTATCCTATGTCGGCTGTGGATTCCGCTCCGATGTGGCCGTTTCCTTCTGCAGGTGCTGATGCTTTCTGCACTGGCCCTACATTCTACTTCTCATGTATTCTATTTCCGATCGATCATCATGTTGACATATGGAGACGGAGGTTTGGACGGGTTGCGGTGGAGAGGAGTGAGGATACCTTGACTGTTGACGGCCAAGGGCGGAGCTTGATCAGAAGCTTTCAACGATGTAACAGGTAGATGTTGACAGCAGACGTTTTCCTCTCCTGAAACTCTTCGCTCATTTGACATGTAGAGAAAGCAAGATGAAGAAGATATGATGCCCGAACCTCGGTAGTTACTTGTACTGTAAGAGCGAGCTCCGACGGAGCTGTCTGAAAGAGGCAATGCTGCGGGTAGGGTATAGGGCTATGACATAACCGGGGGGGAGAGGCCATCTTGACTCTCCTTCCAGTTGCTTCGGCATCAAACAACCAACCCCTTCGACTTTCGAGTCACCCTTCACTCTTTTCCTTTTCTTCCGTTCTTCTTCTTCTAGTGTTGTTGACGGAACAACAATCCGTTGTCTTATTCATCTTTGTTCTGCCTGAGCTTTTTCTCAATTGGCTGTCATGGCGTTACCCGCAGACCAGCGGAAGAAGATCCTCAAGGTCTTGATGACCTCGCTACTCTTGGATTTGGTATGCGCCCCATTTCACCGGCTCAAGAAAGACAGATGCTGATATTCCTGCGCTAGATATCCTTTACTTTCATTCTACCACTCTTCCCTTCTCTACTTACTTTTTACCGCAATCAAGACCCGTCTCCCAACTCGCTCCTCAACCGCTTGTTCCACTATTTGAACGCCTATAAAAACTCATTTGCGAAATCCATCGATTCACGCTATGACATCGTCCTTCTGGGTGGCGCGCTTGGCTCGCTGTTCTCTTTTCTACAGGCACTTGCAGCGCCATTCATTGGCCGCCTGTCAGATAAACACGGCCGCAGGACCGCTCTCCTCTGCTCTATGGCCGGTAACACCCTGAGCGTAGCGCTTTGGGTTACCGCGACCGACTTCCGAACTTTCCTCGCCAGTCGCATTGTCGGTGGCCTCAGTGAGGGCAACGTGCAGCTCGCAAACGCGATTGCCACTGATATCAGCGACCCCAGCCAGCGTGGCTCAACCATGGCCCTGGTGGGCGTCTGTTTCAGTATCGCCTTTACTTTCGGACCCGCGCTCGGCGCAGCCCTGTCCAACATCACTACCGTGGCCGCCAATCCCTTTGCGACGGCCGCGGGTGTTTCGCTTCTCCTGATCGTCGTTGAAACCGCGTACCTGTATTTCTGTCTCCCGGAGACCCATCCCCGTTTCACCAAGCTGGTTCATGCCTCCAACACGAACACCAAAAACAACGAAGCCCAACCATCCACCACGCCAGCCCATTCCGTGGAACCTAAAAAACACACAAACAACCCCGCGCTCCTCAATCTGATTCATCTGCTGTTCCTGCTCCCTTTCTCGGGCCTCGAATTCTCCCTCCCCTTCCTGACTGCCACTTTCTACGCGGGAAGCAAATCCAGCCCCTCTGCCCTCAACGGCCGTCTTCTCTCCATGATGGGCCTCATTGCCTCCCTCCTCCAGGGCACCGTGGTGCGCCGCCTGCCCCCGCTCAAAACCGTCCGCATCGGCGTCATCGCATGCGCGATCTCTTTCTTTATGCTTGCGCGCGTCTCCTCGCTGGGCGGCCTCTACGCTGCGGGCGGGTTACTGGCTATCACCAGTGCGACGGTCGTCACAGGGCTAAACAGCTTGGGGAGCTTCGAGGCCCGAGAGGAGAATCGTGGTGCCGTACTAGGGAAGTTGCGCAGTTGGGGACAGGTTGGACGCGCGGCCGGTCCGCTGTTGTTCTGTTCCTTGTTCTGGTGGATGGGCCGGGAGGTGGCCTACACGGTTGGAGGATGTGCCATGTTGGTGGTCTGTGGAGGGGTATTTGTTTTGCTGAAGGAGCCGGTCGTTGGTGGACAGAAGGAGACCACGAAGAAAAATTAGACTTGTATTGCCTTGAACTGTGACGCTGCGTCAGACTCTATGGTCGGTGACGATTCGTCACTCCATGCATCATTTGTGTGTTCTTACACAGCTGCTGTCATCGTGTATGATGTGAGGTTAGGTAGATTTAGATGGACATATTGCATCATCGCTGGCTGGTCCAGTGCTTCCACTCGGCTTGCGAGCGCCGAGTTGCTTGCTGATACACCAAGCTAGAGTCATTATTCACCTAGAGTCATTATTCATGACCTATGTGGCATAATTTACATGTGTGAAGACTTGTACAGTAATGGGAGATGAGATAGGTCAAACACCGAACCCAGATAAGCTCAAATAACAGCCCTGCAAATATCCATCAGGCCCGCCCCGGGGGAGAGCTTTTTCCTTTCGGAGAAGGTAAAAAGAAGCGCGCCCGGCTAAACTCCCTTCTTCTTCTCATGCTCCCTTCTCCGCGAACGTCACGGGATTCACTCCTCGTGAAAATAAAACGCGCCGTAGCAGATGCCAAGCCCACCAGCAGCAAATGTTAACTTGCCAATTCGCTCCAGTAACAAATCAGGCATGCCCTCCTAACTGACACCCCTTCCGACGCCCATGAAAGCCCCTCGCGCGCGCGAAGAAGCTGTACCGCGGAGTCGTCAAGTGGTCGCCCTGGAATGCCAGGCCCGGCTCCGCAGGCGAGGGGTCCAGCGACTCCCGGGCCTTCCCGATCAACCAGTCCGCCAACGTGACGAATTTGGGGGTCCGTTCCCACCCGCATGCGTCGTCGGCGTGTTCGATGGTATGCGACGAGATGCGGCCCTCGTCGTCGAACGAGAAGATGAACAGCCCCGTGAACTGTTCTTCCTTGGAGAGTTTGAAGATTGGCGCATCCCCGCCCAGCAGCACGCTGAGGCCCTTGTTGGTTCCGGTTTGCGCGGGGCCGGACCCCGAGGCCGGCGACGAGGAAGCGGAGGTGGTGGGATGCGGGTTGGAGGTGAAGGAGGGTTGTTGTTGTTGTTGTTGTTGTTGTTGCTGTTGATGAGGGTGATGATGATTTTCGCTGCGCGGTTCGGTCCGCCACCGCACGACTAGGCGCTCATCGCTGTCGTCTTGTTCCCCGCTGGCATAGCGGGCCGGGTCCAGGACCGTGCCGGCGCGGACGATGCGCTCGCTGATAATCTTGAGTTTGACGTTGCCGAGGAGGGGCAGGCTGCTCCAGGCAACGGGCACTGTCCACAGTGCGGCTCGGTAGAGGGTGCGCCCTTTCACGGTGGGGAGATGAGGGTGCGTGGACGGGAAGAGGTGCAAGGTTATGCTAGGGGAGAGGATCTTGGGTGGCAGAGGATTGGTGAGGATGTTCGGGAGGAGAGGTGAGAGGATTCGAAGCGCTGGCCGGACGGTCCTGAGTCAGTACAGTTTTTTTTTTTTCCTTGGTACCCCAGTACTAGACCTCTTCACGGAGCTTACTTTTCCCGAGCCTGAGAACGCGCTCGTCCGGTTGTTCATGATCCCCCCGCGGCCGCTCGAGTCCGTCGAAAGCGGACGGATGGAACCTAGTTTGCGAGAACTGTGGTTGTGACGCAGGCGTCAACGAGGGTCCACGAAGAAGCTCATGCTGAGCTGAGAACCGTGGAGTCGAGGAAAGATAGAACTGATGTGGGGGAGAAACGCGAGGACTAGAAACGGAGCTCGAACAATTGATGGGATGTATCTCTCGTCGGCTTCGCGTGCAAGGAAGCGCACGGCTAGTAAGCGTCGGCATCACGGAGTCTTATTCGAAGAGGTGGACAGGACTCTTATCCAGGAAGCCTCTGTCGGAAGATCATCACATGCATTGCCGAGCAACGTCAAGTCACAGAGGGTCGGATAGATATGATCAAGATGGTTAAGTTGGTTGGCAACATGGAAAGGCGAAGAAAGAGGCCCGTCGAAGATGGAGATGATTCGGCCGGAAATAGCTGTGATTGGTGTTTCGGCCATGACGTCGGGCCGTCGATCGATTGGCATTGTCGCCTCAGGCCACAAGGCATGAAGGCATGAAGGTCAAAATATGTGCGCATGCATTGGTGGTATCTATCATAATGATTATAGTGCGGTCACGCCCTTGAAACAGGCCATGTTTCCCTTTACATTCACTCGTCGTCCTCTCCAAGATATCGCCTTTCGGCCAGTTCTCGGATCTTGTCTTGCAGGACGCCTCGGCCATATCGTTCAGCCACCTTGACGGCCGCCTCCACCATCTTGCCGTTGCGGTCCCTCATCATTTGTACCAGTTCCAACGCCTTCATGCCTCGTTCCTCTCCCTCCCGGCACTCCACTGCTAGAAGTTGTAGTAGAATCTTATCCACCTCAACCTCCTTCCGAGCCAGCTCGGCGCGCTGACTTGCCGTAGCGTTAGTGGTAGACACAAGGTCTTCAAAGAGTGACAGCAAGATGTTTCCTCGGACAAAGGCTTCTTCAAACCGAGCTCCATCATGTCGAATCGAGCCACTGTCCTCGTCGTCTTCGACTCCCTTGCCCGGTGTGTCGGAAATGGGGACGCGGAAGTCGAATTCGCTCAACAGCGGCCGAGGGAAGTACGGATACTTATCACCTCCCTTGAGAATGATGCAGTGGAACTTGTCCTGAGCCACAGCAACGGGCCAGTAGGTCTCCTCTTTCCGTCCGCTGGCCAATCGCTCTAGCTGCTTCGTGTCAAGCAGCGGTACCCACCGAGCCTGACCATTGTTGCGCCAATGCTGAAGGACAAGCAACACACCTTCGGAGTCATAAATGCATGGGTCCTGTAGCTCCAGGTCAGTATCAAAGTTCGGTATGACAGGCTAGAGCAACCAACCCCATTGTCAGAAAAGAAAACGCTTTGCAACTCAGTATCTTCAGGGAGGGCGACAACGTCCTCATTTTGGCAAATCTCGTCCCGCTTGACGTTCTCTACCGAGTATCGTAGTGTTGCTGTTCGGCCATCGCTGCCCAGTGGGCCATTGCCCACAGTCATAATATAGTCTCGCCAAGCAGCACAAGTGACGGCAGGGCTCTTCTGCCGGTACACTTTGAACGGGGTGCCGAATAATGTATAGACACGAACGTAGTCTTTGGTCGTTACAGCAACAATGTAAGATTCACTGAGCGCCAGCGCTGTCGAGGCAAGTTAGCAGAGCTTGCAAACCAGGTTCCCAGGTTTCCTTACCCCGGATGAATTCGCCCTTTGGAAGCTGCGTCCGCCAATCTGCCCGGGTTGTCCATGTCTCGTGAGGACGATAGAAGATCGTCGCTGGACTACCATCCGTGGGGTTATTGGAGAACAATGTTCCATTGTCATCTAGCGCACGTTAGTCCAGGGCTCGCTCCATGCGCCTTTGCTCTCAACCTACTCAGACAAGCGCGATCGTAAAGGTATGGATCCGTGAAGTGGAAATCACGGTGAAGCTCGCGGTCGTAAAATTCCACTGTAATGGTGTTATGGGTTTCCTGGTCAACCGTCCAGACGCAACCGGTCAGGTTCAGGCCTTCAAAAATTAGCGTTCTATCACAAGGGGTGTCCTATGATCAAATCCAAAAGACATACAGAGGTAGCGTCTGTTGCCACGCCAGGGTGTGCTTCCTGGTTGAAGAGGAGGGTGAATCTTCGGCTTGGCAAAAGCTGTCAAAACTCGCTTGTCGGTGTGGCCATCGATCACATCCATGTGCGAGCCAGCTCGCTTGCCGAAACCATTGATGTCCTCCGCATAGCCAGCCCCATCATCATCCTCGACGAAATCTTCCATGCCAACATCGCCATTGAGGATCTCATCAAGAGAGTCGAGGCTTCCGGCTCTTTGTCTCCGTTCGACAGTCTCCTTCGGTCGGTTCGCCAATGGCCGTCTCACATTGTCAGAGATTTCTGTCAGGGCCCCAGAGAAGATAGGTGCAGCCTGCAGTGGCTTCTCGAGCAGTGGCTGATGCTCCTTGGAAACGAAATCATCGTAGATAAACAGTTCTCCGTCGGACGTCGTAAATGAGACCGAGTTTTTCGTTGGATGCCAGGCAAGGTTTATCACGTTTGCAAAATCGTAGCGTTGTAGAACCTTCTGCGTCTTTGTCTCCCATAGCAGGATCTGACCATCCGCACCTGCAGTTGCAAGAAGCGCTCCATTAGGTGACCATCCGAGCGCTGTAACCTGCCCATTATGACCACCAGCAAACACCTTCTCCTTCTTCCACTCGCCTGTGGAAAAGATCGCAATATCCCGGGTCGCTTCAGCAGAAGCAAACGCCGTTCCATCAGGATGCCAGACAATTCGGGATGTGGCCTCTACCTCCGGTTCAAGTCGCCTTATCACCCCGTCCAGCTTTTGCACCAATTCGGGTTCGTCCGAGAGTGTCGAGTAGATGTAAAGGACACCATCCGTACACGAGACTGTAACGTATCGGCCACTCGGGTCGAAAGTGACGTGCTTGACGCCTTTCGACTGTTCCCGTAGATACTTGACTTTCGTCATGTCTTCAATGTTGACGATCTTCACTGTAAGCTCACTAAAGGGCAAAAATGTCAGCCAGCCCATCATACCACGCATTGAGGGAGTACAGATTTGACTAACTCGCTCGCTACCGCGGCCCACTCGCCGTCTTTTGAGATTGCGATATCTCTTACTGGAAGCATGCATCGTACCAGTAGCTTCACCATCTTGCCTGACTGAATCTCGTATTGCCAAACGGTGCCGTCTTCTGCGCCCATAATGAAATACTCATTCTGCACTTGATTAGTTTCAGACAAGACAGTTCGAAGAGGAAAGCATACAGTAGCACCGATACCCAGATGCCCGTCGACACCCTCGTCCACCGTCTTCGGTTCGCCGTCTTGTCCCACGGTGTAAATACGAATAGCGGAATTAGAACCGCCAGTAATCACACGCCGACCATCAGGCGTATATGCGAGTACCGTAGTGCCCGGGGTATCTACGTTGTTTGATGCGCGTCAGCCTTGAATCATGTAGCCAAGAGCAAAAAGTGAGGTGCGGTGATCAGTTATAAGACTCACGGGCGGGTCTGCCCCTAGGACGCATCGCTTCGGAGGACATGATGATGTGGCCCCGGGCTTTGTCTTTGGCAGAGTCGCCGGATACCCGAGAAGAAAAAAATGTGAAATTATAGCAAGACAAGTCGGTATAGCTCCTTTCAAGGTACTGAGCTCAATGAGTTGTCGTTTGCAGCCTATGATCGCGTATGTTCATGCAGCCGCGGCGAGACTACGGAGTACGCGGGGACGTGCTTTCGGGGCACGCGTTCGACGCGTCTATCGTCCCAAGTACTTTTGCCTTATCGGACCCATACTCAGGGCTTAGGGCACGCTTTCAGGGCTGCCCCTCTGGATCATTTATCATTGAATTCGGCAGGCCATTCATACTTCTTACTTCGTCTAGTATTGACTTTATACAAAAACCATGTTCCTCCACATGTTAAGCGGGGTGAAGACCCCGCGACCGCGAAGAGCTCGGTTGTAACACTCGTTCACATGCCAGTTGTTCTATTTGAATGCCCACTTGCAGCTCCTCTGGAAGAGAATCTCGATCTTATTGATCCGATATCGCAAGCAGTTCCAACGGTTCAAGGCCGATAGCATAGCATATCATGGATAACTTCTCAAATTTTGGTATATACAAACAGCCATAACTCAAACACCGTGTGTATGCAAGGACAAATGTGAACTCAACCCCTTTTGGTTAAATGCGTTGCCGCATTCGTACCCTGATATCGGTCTTCGGCAAGAAAGCTGCAGCGGATGGTCTATGCTCTGGTATGACAAAATCTTTGCCCTGGGCCGGTTCAACGTCCCATAAGGCGACGATTGCGGCAGAGAAAGCCAGAAGCTTTCGCTCCGCAAAAGCGCGACCTTTACACCCTGACACACCCCCGCCAAACGGTTTAATGATATCCATACTGGCTTTCTTCTCGCCAGTGTCTGGGTCGGTCGTGACAAATCTCAGGGGATCAAACTGGCTGGGATTGGAGAAATATCGGTGGTCATGGTGGATGACGGCGTGAGGAATGACAATAGCATCACCCTTCTTGAATTTGTACGATCGAGGCTGCGATAACCCATCTAGAGCTGCGTCTTCTTCGGTTTCGGTTACAGTGAAGTCTGATGTGACATTTCGAAATGATAAAGATGCAGAGTCCAGGCGCAAAGTTTCATAGAAGCTAGCCTTCAGGATAAGGCATGATTTGATCAGGCCTTCTGTATCGATAGACATGCGAGGAGGCTCGTCAAATGGAAGGCCAGTTTCTTCCCTGCTCGGCCGGGTAATCTTAATGAATGGAGCGATTTCTTGACGGATCTCATCCAAGAGAGCACTGTCGGCATATATACGAAGGAGATGCCAGAAGACCACGTTGGGCGAGTTTGAGTTCATGGCCCAGAGCAGAGACAGATGTGCAGGGGCGCTTGATCTAGCAGAAAGCCCTAGGCTTTTGCACTTCCGTATCCGTTCTTTTAATGGCTCTGAGATATCATCCAGGTCTCTGAAATCGGCGCCAGGATCCAGGCCATCGTCCCACGCCAAGAATGCTTTATGGAATTCCGTCAGAACTTCCAACAGCCGGTCACGGGCAGTATGCGCTGCAGATATGCCGGGATGTGATAGCCGAGGAAGGCCTGTGGCTACGGCAAGAAAATGATTGTCAAGGGTAAAGACGTCAGGAAGCAGGGTCGGGTTGGCTTCCAAAATGCTCTCTCCTGTGAAGATAGCCGTTGTGATATGGCCAACAAAATGACGAATCAGGGCGAAGAAGTTGACCTCACAGACCAGAATGTCATCCTGTCCTACCACTAGTGCCTGACTGCCGCGTTCCCATTGCATCTGATCGACTATACTCCGGCAATTCGTGACCAGATTAGGGGTCTGGCGTTCAATCAAGCG